GAATTCCCCAGCCAGCATGAAGTCCACTCATCTTAAAGTGGCCAAGTTTGGACAACACTGTAGTAGACGGTGCAGTAGGCACGTTGCTGTGTTAATCAAGTTGCTGTGTTAATCAAGTTAATCAGTTGCTGTGTTAATCAAGGTGCTGCATCCTAATGACATTTTTTTCCTCATCCCATCAGCATATTAATGTCCATTTGAATACTGCTTATTAAAACAAAGACAGAAGGACTGTAGAATTGGCACAAACCAAGAAGCCCATCTCACGAATGCCTGTACATCCCATCATATTAAGCATATTGCTCCCTTTTATACTGATGTTATCGTACCAAGTGATAGGTTATAAAATGTACATACTACAAGTTGTGCTGTATAAATAATATGTGATGCTTCAATTATTTGTTTTTATTCTTGGAGTGATAAATTATGTGTCATCCATTTGGGGTCAACTCTTAGCAACCACATAGATAAATTTTCTCCAGGACAGTCTGTCCCCAACCTGGTTGTTCATGTCATCTGAGGGGGAGCCCATCACTACTGTACATCTTGAATACCAGAGCTAATGGGTTTCTGATTTTTATTTCATTTTGAATTGTGAATAAATAATCACCCCTTTTTTCTTTATAAGATATATTTTACAACCAAAGCAGACCCATGCTTTTAATGGGGACGTCACAGCAGATTATGTCCTTTAAACACTATCTAATTCTGCCCCTCTATTATTGCATACATGCCCAAATATATTATCGATCACAATCACACTAACATACATTGTTAGCATTTTTAATTTATAAACCTATCCATTCTGTGTAAGGAAGACTTATCAGGTCTTTCTCAGATAACTGGAAAGGGTATAGAATTAAAGAGTGGAGGCAGCTGAGATGCTGGCAGCTCCTGAGCGCTACAGGTTGATTGCACTTTTGTACGGAGATATAGATGATCTCTACAGGCCCTGGAGGCGGGTTCAGAAAATAAAATGCCAATCCCTTAGGTGGAAGAGTCATGCCATTGCTTCAGGTGGAAGAGTCCTAGCATTTCTATCAGAATGGTATATACAGCTTACCTTCCCCATATACCATTCTGATAGATTCTAAATATTCCACAAACAGGGAGCCAATGAGTAGATCAGCATCTTCAATCCTCTCTGGATACAGAGAGGACACAAGATTGCCCAAGCTGTTCTCCTTACAATTGTTCCTCACGAGGAGACCTCAAGACAACAGTCTCCAGAGGGTAGGAGAATCAGGAAATGAGAGAATTTGCCATAATTGCTCCAGCAAATGAAGCAATTTTTAAAGGACGCTAAGTTCATGCTTCCCTTGCTAACCATTTTTGGAAATTGCCTATTAACTGCTTCAAAGAAGTTAGACTTCAAAGTGACAAGGTAGCAAACACCGGGTGTGTGCCTTCAATCCTTAATATAAGAAAATGAAGATGTATCTTTATACTCTTTAAGAATTTAAAATAAACAGCAAAGAGCAAGATAAGGTTTTGGCTTTAGAAAGTTTTAAATGGATTAAAAGCTCAGAAAATGTTGGAATATTGGATG